TCGGGCTCGCGATTTACCTCCTGTAGGACTACTGTATTGGATACTTTGGTTGGTTGGCGTCTGGTGATACGCCTTTCTGACTGGTGAGTGCCAACTAGCATAAAACCTAGGTCCAACGCTTCCTGCCGATTGCCTCCAACTATCTAATGACATCAGTGTTGTTGTTAATTACACTGAATCGACAGTATCCACAGATTACATCTGAAAAGCGTCAATACAGGAGAGATAATATGCACTAATATAATACTGAACTAACTGAATGTCAGACAAATTAAGGGGAGTGATACGGAGTTTATGAATTTATAGGTTAGACAGTAGGCCAGGGTAGCTATCATGGCTGGACCTGCTTCTTTTGCACACAGAGCTCCTGCTGATTTAGGTGAATTACAATGGCCTCTGCTGTTTTGGATGTTAAAAGAACACTTAATGCCGGTAAGCTGCAGTTTGTATTTTTTCACACAACGGATTGTAATTTCGAAACTGGAAGACTAAGTACTTAGACTAGTCACATCTTGTTGTATCTATCAGCTGGGCCGCTCCTATGGAGCCAGTTATGCTGGCCACTGCTCTAGGAACCCAGTTTTTCGTTCTTGGGAACACCTACTAGTGTGGTTAAATAAAGGTGCTGTTAAAAATGTTAACAGTTCTACGTTAAACCAGCTCGGGCAAACAAGCCATAAACCTAGTATTGAAGAATCTTTCTCTGTTATCTACCGGGTATCGAATAAATTACTAAAAGCCTCTAGATATTGAACACTCCAGACATCAGAAGCAATTAGTAATTCGCTTAAATCAACCGGAGCTCTGTGTGCAAAAGAAACAGGTCAAACTAGCCACTATTGCTGACCTGATGTGCTGTCAAGTCTATAAGTTCATGAATTCAATATTACTTCCCTCAATTTATCTGATACTCAATCAGTTTGTTATTATTATTATTCCCTTGGGTTCTGAGTGGAACATAGGGCTTCAACAATACATCTCCACTTGGATCAGGTCCCAGTGGCTTAATGGTTAATGAGTTCGTCTTGTAACCAGAAGGTCCTGGTTTCGAACTCCAGTAGGTGTGTGCTGCTGAAGAGTCACAAACTAGGACGGAGCAAACAGCTTTCCAGTACTGCCAGATGGTTTTCCAGTAGTTCTCTAACCGGTGTCATCTCACGATGAAGTTTTCCAACCAGTTAAACGAAAATCCCTACAAAAACCAATAGTTGAACATCTCCGCGTTGTTCTATTTTCCGCTGTCCTCTTCAACTGGCCACACGATAGCCCATAATATCTCACCTCTTTCTCCCCAACACACAATTTCCTCCATGTCACCCTGGCACTGACGACCTACTCGTTACTTACCACTGGGATTCCACTGGAGCGATGGCCTGCCCGATCCATCTCTATTTTCTCCAACATATTTGTAGAGCGGTTGGCTCTTGATTAGTTTGTTCCCAGCCAGAGTTTCTTGTTGCTAATTCTTTCTGGCCATTTGATCTTCAGTATGGAGCGAAGGCAGCTGTTGTTAAAGGTCTGCAGCAGACTGTTGGAAATGCTTTTCGTGACATGCAGTGCAAGTTTCTGATCCGTATAGAAGGATCGACTAGACATTAGTGTTGAAAATGCGAATCTTGTTCCTTATGCTGAGTGTTCAGTGTTATATTAATGTATATTATCTCTCTCTCGCTCGCTTACTGATGCTTTTCAAATGTAATCACCGATCGATACTATTGATTCAGTGTAATTTAAGACAGCATTAATATTCATGGAAAATTCCCATTGTAACATAGAAAATCAAAAACAAATGATTCAGCGAAGAGACTCTTTTCAACGAATTTATCATCAAGCTGTACAATCGTATATATAAGGGTTTTTTTTAAGAAGTTATATCCGGTGAGGGAATTGAATCATAGGTGTGAATGCATAAAATAATAATATGAAATGCAATTAAAGCTAAAATGTTTGTGATTATAATCGTAGTTAAATGTCAAGTGGCAAAGCAAATTAATGTCATATTTAGAATAATTCATAGGATGGATAGAACTTGAAAAAGGGTGTGCAATTATAAGATTAGTAGACAAATCGAATAAAATAAAAACGTTACGTAATATTGTGTGAAATTTAATAGCATAGAATTTAATGTTGTAAAAAGGAATTGATTTAGAATGACAAGTGGAACAAGTGAAATAATACCGGGGACAATTAAAAGTGAGAGTAGTAATAGTAACAATTGACGTAATAAGGAAGAGTATACAAATTGAATAGACAAAAATGAAAAATTGGTAGAGCTAAAATATGATTGGGGATTACCATACTTTAGCATAGAGGGATTAAGACCATGAAAGTTGGAGGGGTTGAACGAACTTTTTCTGTACACAGAGATCTGGCTTTTCTGTTTCGATAGCCAAAGCTTCAGCAATACAGATGAGTCGGGTACGTAGGGATTTGGGTAAATTACTCTTTGCCTTGTAGATGACTTTAAAGGTGGAGGCTATAGAGATAGGGTGATCAGTATCGACCAGATGTTCAATGATCGCGCTTCTTATTGCTCCACTTCCACCTTTTCGTAACCATGCAGGATAGTGTTCTTGCACCCTCTTGGACAAAACTCGAGTCGAACGGCCGATATACCTAGCTCCACACGAGCAGGCGAATTGATAAACACACATAGAGTTGGTCAACAGCGGGATCTTGTGATTGAATTCCCTCACCGGATATAACTTCTTAAAAAAACCATATATATGCGATTGTACAACTTGATGATAAATTCGTTGAAAAGAGTCTCTTCGCTGAAGCACTAATATTGTTAACAAGCATATTTCTTCAGTTATTACTGCCATCTGAAAGTAGAACCTGCTGACGAAGAAGTTATCGAAAAGAATATTCTTTATTCATTAATCAGTCGTTTAAATCAAAAATTCTCAAGGTAGGAGAAAAAGAATGTCAGCATCTCCATCCGCTGGCATCTCCTCATGTTTGAACATCTAATAACAGCTGACAACTGTTTCAAAGTGGTCTACAATGTGCTGTATACCATATCAAAAGATTTTGACTGCATTACTTATACATAAGCCAAGTGACATCTACTTTCCAAAAGTGTTGAATAAAGTTACTCATTTACTGACTCATGAAGCAAATAAAAGACAAATTCTGCAAAGAAAATTTTCTTTATCGAAAAAATCATCTTCACAGACTCTATAGTCGGATTTATATTTACCAAAAATGTATAGTAGTCCATTACTGAGTAATAGGCGCTGACATAATTGATATTGTAACGACAGAAGACAAGGGCCAGGCAACAGATCGTTTATTGAGAAAATCAAGAGATATTTATAGATTTTTATGTACATTATTATTAGCGTTATTGTTAGCAGAGAAACAGTCTTCTGATTGGTCGTTTTCTCACTGGAAGTTAATCTATCATCTCTTTCTCGCAGTTTCTTTAACGGTCAGACCAAATATCTGCAAATCGTATCCACCCACGCAAAGTCTTTGTTTTGTTTGTTTTTCTCATGACCAAGATTTGGTAAGTAAACATTGACGTAAATTGCTGTCTACCAATTTTGGCTAGCAAACAGCTCTCACCACAATATAATTACTTAGAAGTGGCTTTAGAAGCAAAAAATAAAATTTGTAAATTACGTGGTACTCAACGGCACAAAGTTAGAAATTTGATGAGGTTAAAATCGATACTGAGTGACAGAAATAAATGTAGTTGAGTGTCAATGTAACAAGTGTGAAGAGGGTGTGAAAATGTACAAAAGGAACATATGAGAATGATAGTAGTGAATTAATTATTAAAGTAAAAGCAAACTGAAAGAAAAATTGAAAATAAGATTTTTTAAAGGGAATGACTAGTGAAGTGGTTCAGACCTTGGTAGAATAAGAGATTGAACAAACTTTTTCTGTACACAGAGTTCGGGGTTGTATTGATGAATTGCTAGCGCCTCCGCCATACACAAATGTCGAAAACTGACGCCCTTTGTACCATTTGGCGTCACCTTGTAGATGATCTTGAAAGACTCATTTTACAACAGCCAATACGGTGTACTATTTCCACTTTTTTGTAAACTTTACCGGTTAACTAATCTTTTATTTGCCTGATGCATAATTTAATCAAACATTATCATTTTTTCCAATTCTGTCTTTCACTTTGCATATTTATTCTGTAGGTCACATCTGTAATTTGGAAACTACTCGAGTAGTACGGCGTACCCCAAATATTCATCAACCTTATTCAACAGCTGTACGACAACGGCACATGTCAAGTGATCCACAACGGAAAACTCAGTGAGGCGTTTGGAGTAAACACAGGAGTCAGACAAGGGCGCTTATTATCACCAATGATATTCCTAATTGTGGTGGACTGGATTATGCGCGAGACAGTGGGAAACGAGAAGACAGGGATATCCTGGACCGACGTGAAGAACCTAGAAGACCTGGATTTCGCGGGTGATTTATGTTTGATGTCACACAAAATCGAAGACTTGCAAGCGAAAACCGACAAACTGGTCGAAGAAGCAGCAAAGACAGGACCCCAGGTGAACATAGACAAGACGGAGGTTATGAAAATAACCAACCAGCAACAACAACAACAACAGCAACATCCAGCGCCAATCACCATCAACGGGGGGGATTTGAAAGAGGTTACTGTTAATCGCGACAGATAGATAGACTGTATGATAAACAGCCAATCAATATTATGTGACCTTTTTTGTCGCGATTATTGGTCAATTTATTGTAACTCTCACCACGTGATGACCTTGAATGTTCTTTTTTGTCTGTCACTTTACTTGTATATACATGTAATTAATTGACTGTTCATTTTGTCCGTACCTTCAATACTGTTCGGTACGTTTTTGTCCTATTTTTGTAATGACAGTGGATTTGTACATTTTTCTTGGTGTAATTGTATGGTTTATTTTATGTTTTAGAAACAGATAAAGTTAAAGTCAAGTTATTCTGTTTTAACTATTGCTAAGCCCAGACTCTGTGTCGTCAGTATTGAGGGAGGACTAAATCTGTAGGATAAAAATAATCCTACAAAGTTTCGAACAGTATTGCAGACGAAAGTTTCGAACAGTATTCCAGACGAAAGTTTCGAACAATATGGCAGACAAAAGTTATGAAACTATGCCGTCGTTAACTCCACAGTTAGGAAAGAGTAATGAAGCTGATTTCCCTGGAAGCAACGAGAATAAATCACGCTATATGATAGAATTGGAGCTAGCGAAATTGCGCATAGTCCAAAAAGAGAAAGAAATGGAATTAGAAAGATTACGACAAGGTAGTCGCGAATGTTCTTGTCACAATAAATCGCCTTACAAACCTTCTACTTCCCATAAAGTCGCTGTATCTCTTAATGATGAGTCCGCCAGAACCATATCTAAGTTTCTGGACATGCTTAAAGGATATCAATATTTTAAGTGGAATGCCGATGAACTTGAGTGTTGGATCAATGAAAAACTGCAAACATATACAAATGAGGATTTTAAAGAACTCAGTAATCTTCAGCTGAAAAAACAGAAACATCAAGAGTTTGAGTTCGAAGTAACAGTTCATGCTGAAACACTCTCAGCTCTAGATTCTACGGGAGAAGAAATGATTGGTCAGGGGTACTACGCAACAGATATTATCAAAAACCGTCTTGATGAATTGCATGCCCTGTGGGAAAGGCTTATGGCTATTTTCAGAGAAAAATCCAGTGTCATTAACCTAAAGCTTAAATTTGTCCAGTTTTTACGCCAAGTCGACGAAATACTTTTCTGGATACGTGAAAACGAAACTTACGTAACATCAGAGGATTTAGGTCAAGACTTGGAAGATGTTGAGACACTTCAAAAAGGGTTTAATGAGTTTACAAAAGATCTCGAGAATCAAGAAAGTCGTGTAGAAGACATCTATCGGAAGGCAGATGAACTTCTAAAAGAGAAATTTCCTGAGGATGCCCTAGTCATAGAAAAGTTCAGACAGGTCCGCGAAGCTCTAGAACGTCTGAAGGATCTGGTTAGAAAACGACAAGAAAAGCTCCTGGAAGCCTATGAGATACAGTGCTTCTTTAGAGACACAGATAAAGCTATATCGTGGGTGAATGAAAAGTCTATTCCCTTATCCATTGAGGACTGTGGTCGTGATCTTGCCTCAGTCCAAGCCTTACAAAGGAAGCACGAAGCATTAGAAAGGGATTTGACTGCCCCAGATGAAAAGATTGTTCGACTTGGAGATGATGCTAAGGCGCTTGCACAGAAGCATCCTGATTCGCAAGACACTATACAAGGCAAGTATGACGAATTAATTACTGCATGGGATAAGCTGAAAAGTCAGGCTGTAGATAGGAGAGGTAAACTGGAAGAGTCATTCAAGATGCATCGCTTTTCGGCTGACTGGAGAGACTTGAGTATCTGGATGAATGACATGAAGACGTTAATGTTGGCGGATGATTTGGCAAAGGATGTAGTTGGTGCTGAAGCCCAAGTAGAGCGACATAAGGAATACACCGCTGAGATAAATTCTCGAGCTGAAAGTTTCGATACATGCATGCAAGAAGGTCAGGCATTACTAAGTGTTGGCCATCCCTGTAATGGAGACATAGCTGCTAAACTTTCCACCCTTGAAAGAGAGAGAGCCTCCTTGATGCAGTTGTGTGAGGAAAGACGTGAACAGCTAGAACAGTGTATGGGCCTTCAGTATTTTTACCGCGACGCTGAACAGTCGGAATCTTGGATTGGTAAGCAAGAGGCCCTCTTAGAAATAAATGATGTGGGAGACTCACTCGATTCTGTGGAAGCACTCATAAGGAAACATGAAGACTTCGAAAAGTCACTTTTAGCACAAGAAGAAAAGATGCGACAACTTGATGAATTCGCTGCAAAATTAATCGAATCAAACCACTATGCGGCTGCACAGGTTCATGAGATTCAGGAAGGTCTTCAAAGTAGACGAAATGCATTAAAGGAGAAAGCTCAGAACCGCCGTCAGCGTCTTGAAGATTCCCACCGTTACCAAATGTTCGATAGAGATGCAGATGAAATGCAGTCATGGATATCAGGAAAACTTAAAAATGCACTTGATGAAAGTTACAAAGACTCCACGAATTTGCAAACAAAGGTGCAGAAGCATCAGAGTTTTGAGGCAGAAATACAAGCGAACCAATCCCGCGTTGAAGATATTAAAAAGACAGGTCAGGATTTGTTAAATGCAAACCACTACAACTCACTAGAAATAAAAGTAAAGATTGAACAGTTGGATGAAACTTGGTCTCATCTCGTAAATGCCATGGGAGACAAGAAGAAAAATTTAGATCAAGCAAGTAGGCAACAACAGTTCGCTCGCAACATAGAAGATGTCGAGTTATGGTTGAATGATGTTGAAGCTCAGATAGCCTCAGAGGATGTCGATCGTGATCTAAACGGTGTGATCAACGCACAAAAGCGGCACAACTTGCTTGAATCTGATGTAGCTGCTCATCGTGAACGTATAGATACATTCAAAGTCCAGGCTGACACGCTTGCTGCAGAAGGTCATTTCGACGCTCCTATTATCCAAGAAAAACAAAGACAGTTAGCCCAACGTTACCATGACCTGCAAATCCCTCTAAGTCAACGTCGTGAGAAGTTAAGAGATGCCCTTCCCTCGGACACATCTTTGCAGCTTGAATATGGTGACTATAGTGAGCTGATGAAGTTACTAGTCGATTGTTGTAAAGATTTTAAAGCACATTCGCTTAACCAAATTGAATCAGAAATGTGGCATCAGTATGCTGAAAGCTTCACTACTGGCTCAGTAGCCACTCACAAAGATGCCTTCAGGTTATGGGTTAAAGATAAGAACCCTGTTGTTGAAAAGTATATTGGGTTTATAGAGTCATACCGTGATCCCTTTGGTGTTCGTGCAAGGTTTGAATCATTTGTCGCTGTTGTAAATAGATCAGTGTCTAAAAAATTCCAACGACTTGTGAATAATGCTGAAAGGTTGTTAACAAGTTTACCATGGCCTTCTACGTTTGAAAAAGTTAATTTCTTACAGCCAGACCTTACTAGTTTGGATGTAGTTACGTTTGAAACTTCTGGAATTCCTGTTGGAACTAATATTCCTAACTATGATGATGTACGACAAGTTGATGGATTTAAAAATGTTTCTTTGAATAATGTACTTAGTGTTCGTCTCGAGGATCCTAAACCAGAATTTCTACGTAATGAAGACAAACAAATGTACGTGGAACATGCTGAAAGTTCCTTTGAATTACAAGTTGGACTTCATGAACTGATGGGATATGGTTCAGGTAAACTGTTTCGGCGTGATTGTTATGGAAAACGAAATTTCCACACGAAAACTACTGAATATGTCATAAATGCAGATCCTGTAAAAGGTTGGTGTGAACCAGGAGAAACGTATGACAGCAAGTTTTCAAACCTTTCATCTGCAATAGACAAGTGTCAAGCTGAGTGCGTTGGAATTTATTTATCTGATTTACCTCTTGTTCTGGAGCAGTTCGGTTTGAATACCAACTGTGCTCAAGGCGATGTCCCAGATGCAGTCTATATTAATTGGTTGTCAATGATTCCTTCAGTTGTAACTTCCATGGAGTTTTATTCTCCAGCAGAAAATGCTGATGACATTGGATCATGGTGTCAAGCACATTATTGTGCTTGTTATGCGATTCTGCGAGTTTTGATTGAAGCTGACGATTCTATGGGACGTACACATAAAGTAGTCGGTGAGGACAATGCATCTGATTTGTGTATTTCCTTAGTTCCAAAAAGGCCTTTAACGTCGGCTCGTTCAGCAATTGGTGAATTCTTAAGAAAATTACAATATTACAAAGGTAAAGCGAATGCTATGTATGGATATGCTTTCTCCCAACACTATAGTCAACTACTTCCAAAATATTTGACTGATTTGCTCTGGCATAAATGGCTACGTGGATATCTTCTGATGCTGCAAACAAGATCTAAGTGGTTGGATATAAAGCACAACCTACAACCTGATGATCTCGTCTTAGTTAACAGTGCTGACACACAGAGAGGTCTCTGGCGAAAGGCTATAGTTAAGCAGATGTACTATGACCAAGATGGCCACGTCAGGACACTGTGTTTGAAAACTTCAGCTCAAGAAGTGGAACAAGATATAAGAAGCGTACGAAAGGTCAACGTGGTGATCGTTCGCGGGGAGTGTTAATCGCGATAGATAGATAGACTGTATGATAAACAGCCAATCAATATTATGTGACCTTTTTTGTCGCGATTATTGGTCGATTTATTGTAACTCTCACCACGTGATGACCTTGAATGTTCTTTTTTGTCTGTCACTTTACTTGTATATACATGTAATTAATTGACTGTTCATTTTGTCCGTACCTTCAATACTGTTCGGTACGTTTTTGTCCTATTTTTGTAATGACAATGGATTTGTACATTTTTCTTGGTGTAATTGTATGGTTTATTTTATGTTTTAGAAACAGATAAAGTTAAAGTCAAGTTATTCTGTTTTAACTATTGCTAAGCCCAGACTCTGTGTCGTCAGTATTGAGGGAGGACTAAATCTGTAGGATAAAAATAATCCTACAGTTACTTCATTCACTCACTTATCTGGGGAGTATTGTCTCAACTACAGGAGGAACGGACGAGGATGTCAAATGGAAACGAGAATCGGGAAGGCGAGAAACACATTCATCAATCTGAAACCAATCTGGAAATCTTCGCCACTCAGCTTAGCATCAACAACAAAATTCGGATTTTCAATACAAACGTCAAGTCAGTTTTGCTATACGGATCAGAAATTTGGTGGGTCACCAAGAATATTTCCAACAGCCTGTTGCAGACCTTTATCAACAGCTGTCTTCGTTCTATACTGAAGATCAGATGGCCGGAAAGAATCACCAACAAGAAACTATGGGAACAAACAAAACAAGGACCAATCGCCCAACAAATATGCAGGAGAAAGTGGAGATGGATTGGACACTCGCTGAGGAGGCCGCTGGGTGACATCGCGCGTCAGGCCATCGGTCGAGTGGAACCCGAAAGGGAAGCGGCGAGTGGTTCGTCGGTGCAAGGGTGACATGGAGGAGATCGTGTGAAGAGGAGTTGAAACAGCATGGATTAACATGGATGCAGGTTAAAAGTGTAGCAGAAGCCCTATGTTCCACTAGGAACCCAAGGGAACAATAATAATAAATAATAACTCATATCTGTAACACTAAACATCTTTTCCTTCCCCGTGTGTTGAGAGCTGGCCACGAACAAGACATAATTGTAAACAACAATTTACGTCAGTGTTACGTATGGAATCAGGGCCGTGAGGGAAATGAGAACAAAGCTTAACCTTGAGAAAATCACCAGCCAATCACAGCGGACTTAACGTGCGCAAGTATTATTCGCAGATATTTGGCTCAACTTTCTGAGAAACGGCCACAAGTAGTACAGAGTAACCTTCAGAAAGAAAACAAACAATTAGAAGACGTTGCTTCTCCGCTGAAAATAATGTACATAAAATCTATAAATATCCCTTGATTTTCTCAAAAACCAATCTGTTGCTTGGCTCTTGTCTTTTGTCGTTACACCCGTAGTTTCCACTACCACATGTTCCAACTTGATAACGAATTCTGCACGAAATACAGAATTTTCAGTGGAATTTATTGCACCAATATTCTTCTATTCATCCAGGCTCTTCAAGTAAAATAGTACATCATGTGACGCAATGCTGTTCCATCTGAAGAATAAAATAATGCCTTTATGGTATTTTTCTTTCGTCATAGAGAAATACTCAACAATAAGTTGAATATTGATTAAAAATGTACGTGAGTACATTCCATATTAGTTTGTTTATTAGATATATCACATAGTAGAAAAACAGTATTATTTACTGGATGACAACGTTTCGAACACAATTTATCATCATTCATAATCACATCAATTATAATCACACAACTTCGAAACTTCAGTCTTATAATTTTCTTTATTCATTCCTAATTGTCGTAGGGGTTGTAGGATTTTCAAGCTGTCTGGATGGACAGGTGTTGAATCAATCCATTAGATTTTACGACTATCATCTTATCCCATCCTATTATATGTTTGTGTGTAATTGCATGCGGTGAGTGCTATAGCTGAACTGCACCTGTTCTACTACTTCAAACGATGTATTTGACCTGACAATCATTCCAGCAGGGCATTAGATAAACTAAATTATTTTGTTTTAAAGGCTGCGAAAGGATCCTTCAACCGGCAAAGCTTGTTTCTAATTGAGTTTGTGGGTTTGAATGCCAGTCACTTTTATTTCTGCCTTGTTAAGAATTCTGCGTAAGGTTTCCGAGTTTCCTTCATTGTATGGAATGACTACTGATGGTTTAGATTCCTTATTGTTGGTGTTGTCATTATCCTGCGCATGTTTGACATGCATGTCGTCATTAATATTACTATTATTATTATTATCACTAGTATTACTATCATTATTTATTTTATTTTTACACTTTCGATATACTTTCTAACTAGTTTATCAGGGTAATTATTAAGTTTCAAAGCTTCTCTTAGATGCCTCACTTCCTGTCTTAGATTTTCGTTGGTGCTACTTAGTTTTTGTGCCCTATTACTTTAACATTTCACCAATTCTATTTTTATTGGACAAGAATATAGTCATCACTAAACCAGACAAAGAAAATGCCAAGGTAGTATTAGACAAATCAGACTATTTGAAGAAGGTGAATACTCACATGCAAACAGGACCATATGAGGAAATTAATAAATCAATTGAGACCGTTATGAATAAGGTTAAGAAATCCACAACGGACCGTATATGCCAAGTAAAGCCGTTTCTAGGTGAGTCTAAAGGGTTTAATTTAGTGCCTAAAACTAATAACCCCAGTAGGATGTATGGTGTTATTAAAGCGCATAAGTCAGGATACGCTATTAGACCTATAGTTGATTTTAGAAATTCACCTACTTATGAATTTTCTCAGTGCTTACCTATGGTATTAAATCCTCTCAGAAGCCACTCAAAATCTAGACTAACAAATTCTTATGAACTAAAACATAGATTAGATAATTTAAAATTAGATAATGAAGAAAAAATTGTTAGTTTTGACATTGTCAGTTTATATACACGTATACCAATAAATATGGCTATAGAGACAGTCAGAAACGAACTGATTTCTGACCAAGAACTCGAACTTAGGACGAAAGTGTTACTTGAGGATATAATGCTGGGAGTGCAGCTATGCCTGACTTACACAGTATTTAAATTTCAGGGGAGAATATACAAAACAACTGAGGGAGTTGCCATGGGGTTACTAATATCCCCGGTTGAGGCAGATATATTCACAGATAAGTGGGAAAGCATAGCGACTTAAACGCCAAGCCCCACTCTAAAAGTATGGTAGAGGTATGTAGCTAACACATTCACTGTACTTAGAACACAGGATATAGATAGATTTTTCGAAAACATTAGCTCAAAGGTGGAGGCAATTCAATTCACTTATGAATTGGAAAGTCAGGAAGGGGAGCTCCCAATGTTATATTATAACGTAAAAAGGAAAGAAGATGAGAGTTGAAACACTAGTGTTAACAGGAAACCCACACATTCAAACTGATATTTGGATTTCCGACCATTCCATCCTATATTAGGAAAAAATTGGATTGGTAAAATGTTTAAGTGTAGTTATCCATTAAACCCTACCCGGCCTACAAGGTGAATCTGCAAGTCCTATATCGGAACCAGTCAGTCGTTTTCTACACATACATTAGTACGCGAGTACATTTCGACGAAAACAGAGTTAATGAAGATTCCTGGACAAGAACAACAACAACAGACAACGATCAGCATAAATGGGAGGAACCTGAAAGAAACAACCTCCTTTGCCTACCTGGGAAGCATCGTCTCAACTACAGGCGGAACTGACGAGGATATCGAAGCAAGAATCGGAAAAGCAAGACAAGCTTCCACTACTCTCAAGTCTGTGTGGAGGTCAACAGCACTCAGCATCAAAAATAAGATCCGGATTTTCAACTCCAATGTGAAGTCAGTGCTACTATACGGATCCGAGACTTGCGCTACGTGTCATAAAGAGCATCTCAAACAAACTACAGACCTTCATTAACAGCTAACTGTCTTTGCTCAATACTAGTCAAGATCAGATGGCCAGAAAAGATCACCAACAGAGATCTCTGGCTATGAGCGAACCAACCCAGCAGGAACCGATTGTGAAACAAATAGGCAGGAAGAAATGGAGATGGATTGGCCATACTCTGAGGAAACCATCAAGGGACATCACTAGACAAGCCCTCGAGTGGAACCCGAAAAGGAAGTGACGAGTTGGTCGTTAGTGCAAGGGTGACTTGGAGGAGGTCATGTGAACAGGAGATGAAAACGTGTGGGCAGACTTGGAGCCAGGTGAAGACTCTAGCAGAGAACCGAACGCAATGGAGACGCACGGCTGAAGCCATATGTTCCTCTAGGAACTAAAGGAAACAATTAATAATAATAATAACATTTCGACGACCCACATACATATCTGAATGGTCAAAACAAAGAGAATTAGAGAAGATGTCATACATTATATTGGCTGAAAGTTCAGGTAGTCCAGTGATTCAAGCATGCCGCCATATAGAATAGGCACACTTTGTATTTGTTTCAAGAAGGTCTGTAAAAGTTTGAAAATAATGGGGGCTATGGATCACTAACCGGTACTTTCAAGGATGTTCTTATCTGATCGATCATTTGTTTAACTTAGTATTCATTAGACTGATAAACCTTTAAAACATCTGCTCCATTAATTCTAAAACATAAGGCTGATATAAAACAATCCTTTGAGATATCATAAACTAGTGACAAAGACGAAACAGAAAGAATAGGAATACTGGTACTTCTTCTGAACTGCCTAAGCCATTCATATTTATGAAATCGGGGGCACAGCGGTCAGGACTCTCGCCGACCATGCACATGGTCCGAGGTTCGATCCCCCGCCGACGCCCACCTGATATCTATGGTCAGCCTACTAAATTTGGGCTACCGATATCACATGCTGAAAATTTCATACTTGTACCGAAATACTGTGTGGAATCAAGCTATAATAAATAAATAAACATGTCTTTTAGTGGTTTATTTGTTTGTTAGTACTAACAGTTCGAACAGTAGTTATGTAGTTAGAGCTGGCTGCTAGCCGAAATTGACAGACAGTAAATTACGTCAATGTTTACGTCCCCAATATTGGTCATGAGAAAGATAAGAACAAAGACTGATTCAACAAGCAATCACAGCATACTTTACGTAGGCGGATACAATTAGCAGATAGATGATCTGACATTCAAGAAACAGCCACAAAGAGATGAAAGATTAACTTTCAGTGAGAAACAACCAATCAGAAAACTGTGTTTTTCTGCTAACAATAATCTATAATAATGTACATGAAAATCTATAAATATGTGTTGATTTCCTCAGCAAACGATATGTTGCCTAGCCCTTGTCTTCTGTTGTTGCAGTCATTGGAATAGTTTTTATTGGTGTCAGGATGACAGGAGACATATTTTATGAGTCAGCATT